TGTTCAGGGCCTGGGGCAGCTTGCAGTCATTAAGGCAACTATATAATATGCATCATATCAAAGCTTGCTTGATGAGAATGTGAGGCCATTGGTCCAACAGTTAAAGCTGAACCATAAATTGGTCTTTAAACATAATAATGAGCCAAAACTCTTTAGCAAATCCACCAAGGAATGGCTCAAGAAAAAGAATAGAGGTTTATGGACTGCCTTGCATCTTGCAACTTTCAGAAATTGTGCATGGAGAAGTGGTCAAAAATGTCACTGTTGATAACAGAGACTGGTGAGCAATTATGTAATACAAGATGTAATTTCTGCTAATTTGGGAATTATCAGCTTCTGCTCTACTTAAAAGAGAAGTATGAGCTTTAGAAGAAAAAAAATTTATACTCAGCTTGGATTGATGCTACATTAGTCCCCCACTGGCTCTGCAGTGAGAACTGAAACACCGCTGAATGCTCAGTACTCCCCCTCTGCTATGAGCACAGAGCTGTGAATGTCAGTCTCCGGCTCTCTGCGTTGTCCCCCCAGCGCTCACTGGAGCATTGGGCTGTGGAGGGGTGGGAACGGCTGGCTCAGGCTCTCATTGGAGGTGCGAGTCCAGGCTTCTGGATGGATTCTGACCATATGGTCAGGATCTTTTCAGAGCTTGGACCGGCTCAGTGACATCAGCCGACAGCAGGCTTTAGCCCACTGGTGGCTACAAACTTGTCACAGGAGGCGCGATCCCCTTGAGAACATCTTCAGATGATATGCGCATCGGGGGCGGAGCCTGTGCTGACAACTGGAGCCAGTGCTAGCAGTAGTTTTGTGATTTTACATGCAAATTATATTGGAGTCTATTGAGTAGATTTGTAGTTTATATATTATTAAATCCGATGGTGGTACGATATTGGAGGCTGCTGATTGATTTGCCGGGCAACATCTTCAGAGAGGAGGTACACTCTGCAGTCTCCTGTCAGCATGATTTGTGTTCCTGGAGTGCAAGAATTCATTACAGCAAGCCCACACATCTTTATACAGACCATCTATAGCTTGGAGTCTTCAGTGCTGGTAAGAGGCTGTGTGTGAAAAGGTGATGGGTGTATATATGGGTATTTATGGATGGAGTTTTGGAGTTTTTACATACACAGTTTTAATTTGCACTTATCATTTGTGGACTTTTTCATTACACTAGATGTTAATTAATTAGTACACATTATTGAAGGTATTATTTCAGACATCTGCAAGGGTGTGTTTAGTGTATTTTCAGCACAACAGTTTTTGGATCACATTATTTGCAAAGTCTTAATATACAACATCCATATGGTTATATTGCTTTTAATTATACTGGGTTTTTTTTTTCTACTTTTTGTCCTTAATCATTGTGTGTTTTGATCAGTGTTGACTTGAAATCATATCTTACCTCCACTGTCTGGTTTAGGATGCATGAGGATGAAAGGAAGTTCTGTAGAGACCTCACTGTGAAGAACAAATAACACGTAATGAAATCCCAGTATACTACAAAGGTAAATAATCGAAATGCAAAGTTCAGTATTTTTCTGTCAGATGGGGATGTAGGTTTGAGTGGTATTGCACAATTTTTTGGCTGTTCTGGTACACCTTTTTATTTACATCTTATTACTATAGCCAAGTCTATTTGTAAAGATACAAAAATAACTTTTTTGTGCAGAGTGACTATAGCGTTGTTGTGGATTCAGCTGCTCGATAATATGCATAATATGATTGGTTACAGAGTGACAATATGGAAATCTGTGTGAAAGCCATCCTTACAAGGCCTGGGCATGTGCAACAAGTTCTGCCAATGCAGTGTGCTTAAGTACTCTGTCTGCAGGTCTCATATTAAAGTGTTCGTTCACCTTTAACAGAAACCTGACTATGCAGATAAGCTGTGTCTGTAGATAAAAACAAACTGGGCAGCTCTGACTAAAGTTGAATAATGCCCTTGCTATAGGTGTTTGCCATTATATACCTCATGAAGCCTGACTGGAATACTTCTAGGACATCTCTAAGTGAGGCCTAGTCATTACTGCTCACCTCCACCATCAAAGAGTGAGATTTTTATTTGATTCAATCCCCTCACATTTTCTCTTTCCCCTGGTACAGTAGCTCTGAACTCAGTGTCTGAGAGCTCACTCCTGTGATGGTGGAGGTGAGCAGTAATGACTAGGCCTCACCTAGCAATGCTCTGGGAGTTTTCCAGTCAGGCTTCAGGAGGTATGTAAATGGCCTACACCTATAGCAAGGGCATTATTCAACTTTAGTTAGAGCTGCACCGTTTCACTTTATCCACAGACACCCCTTATCTGCATAGGCAGCTTTTTGGTAAAGGGGAATTATCCCTTTAGGTACTTTGACTCCCCAGAAGAGGAACCACAACTGTCTCAAAGTCAGAGACTCTAGAGCGTGTTAAGGATGTTCTGGTAGTTCCTCAGCTTGCTAATAGGGCCCCAGCAAAGCAGCTGATATATACACAGCAGGCTGGATATTATATTTTTAAATATTCTAATTAATTTGTCCTTGACTAAGGAAAGAATTGTATTTCATTTGTATTTTTAGTCCTGGCTATAATGGAGAGAAAATGTGCAAAATCATAAAACATTCCTTTTAATAGAGAATGCACCCATGACACAGGATGCACAGAGCCACACTGCCTACCTTCAAGATTCTCCATTTCTGAATAAAACTCTGAGGAGCAACAATTAAACAAATAGGCAGAGAGGGAGGAGGGTAAGTCAGTATTCTGACTTGATCAGCTGTCTGTATGAATTTCTGCTGAAGCTATCGAGCCCTCCAAGAAAATGTATTTTTAACAGCTCAGTTAAAAGTACAGCACCCTCTTGAACAGCGACTCCTTTGTAGTCATTGGAGCAGCTGTTGATTTCTATAGCCTGCTCTGGGTTTCATAGCCTGTAGCCTGCCTTCTGGAGACTTCTGGAATATAGGGAGGTGAGAGTGAGTCAAATATGCAGCTTTATATTTATTAGGTAGCAGCCAATTCCTTGGAGGGGTGTCCCAGTAGATGGTTAAAGAGGCTGATAAATAGAGTGAACTCCAGAGTAGTGGGATCTTCCTGTAGAAGAGATTCCACCTGTTTCGGTGGGGGTAGCTACCACCACCCATCTCCCTTGACAAACTCCTACCAAGTTCAGTTGTTGCTCATCGAGGCCCTAGCTATGGGAAAGCTGGGGGCCCTAGGGTTATCTTCAACACACCAAGACTTCACCTGAGGGATCCAGTCTGCAGAAAATCACTAGAAGGCACCTGGAGAAAGCTGAATGGGCACAGTTGTTCCCTGGCCTCGTGGGTACTGACTGTTCCACAAGATCCTGGTGACTGTGTACTATTGGAATATCTGAGCAAAGTAGTTTTCATGGGGTCCCTACCTCTGGCCTTTCCCTTTTTCATTCAAAGGGGACTTTATTCTGAAGTTTAGCAAAAGATTTGCTTCTGAGGATCGTAGAACAGAGAAGAGCCTCCTTATATTACACCTTGTAGTCTGGAGAATCCCATACCCTTCACCCTCTCCCATTGTTTAAGTTTCTAGCAATAAATCACAAAGACACATTCCAACTGTTCCTTGTGTTAGTGTGCTTGAACTGTTCTCTGTGTGTGCTGGCAGCCTCTGCAGTAGTAGGGGAGAACTCTGGTCATCACTATTGACCAGCGGCCTTTATGGGGGTATCGCTACAAAAATATACAGGTAAAAAAAAAAAAAAACGAGCACTCCACCTACTGTCTGGAAATGAAAATACAGAACATTAATAAAAAAAGTAGCAGTATTAGTCTATATTTCAGATTTTTTTAGTAAATGGATAGGATGGCATAAACTGGACAAGACTGAAAGTAAAAGGCAGCCCTGGTTTCACAAAGAATACCAGACCTCCTGATGGAGAAAAAGCATTTGTGTAAACCTAAAGTGGTATTGAACCCAAAACCAAAAATGTAATGTATTGCAGCTTAGCAATCATTAGATGTGGTGGTTGCATTAGTTTTCTTTTTAGGGATTTTTTTCCCCTCTGTTTTCACCTGGTGACCTGGCCAATAACACACCTCCTGTATTAGAGTGCCTAGACTCTAGATGAAAGAGCAACAGAGACACCTTTGGACAGCCGCCCATACCCTGTCAATCTGGGGGGAGGGGAGTGTTAGATGCACTAGGAAACATTTTGTTATATTAACAAATTGAGGACAAACTCCAGCTAACGCATTTTAAGCAGCTACAGCAGCAGTTTTTTTTCCTTTAAGGGTAAAGATTTTACATAAATATATAAAAAATGGTCAGTGGTAAATGATTTGTCTTAACCCTCTAACTTCTACAACTGCAAGACAGTTAGTTCTGTTGAAAACCAACAGACTTGCTGGCTGGATAATTGGACGAAAATAAAGGAAAGAAAAAAAAAAAAGAAAAACTAATAAGGCCATCACATCTAAGGATTGGTAAGCTGTAATATAATAAATGTTTGTTGTGAGTTTAATGCTGATTTAATACAAATGGGGTGCTCAAGTAAAAAACTTAGTCTAGGCTGAAGGAAAGTCAGAATGGCCCACAAGTAATGTGCCCACAAGCAAAAACTGACAGATTACCTGACTAGGCCTAAGTCCTCATGCACACTGGAAATTTTTACAGCTGCAGTTTTTGGCTTTTGGTGTTTTTTTCTACAGCCAGTGAACTCCCCAACATGTTTTCCTATGTGTCCATGCACACATAGGCTGTAATCAGCGTTTTTTGGCAAGGGCGTTTTTTGGCTGGAAAAAACCCAGAACTAGAGGGTTTCTAGAGAAGTTTTTTTAGCTGTAAAAACGCTCTAACGCAGCAAACCAGCGTTTTTGGACTTTTTTTGAGCAAACAAAGTGGAAAAAATGCGGCTAAATGCATGCACATAAAAATGCTGAAAATGTTTTTAAGGTGACTTCACACAGCTAACACTACCAGCGTTATTAAAACGCCAAGTGTGCATGGAGCCTGAAAATAGGAAAAGACAGTCCTGACAAGCAATGTACTACAAGCACTTTTTTGTATGCAAGTTGAATAATATCATTATGATTCTATACCTTGAAGTCATATCTCCCAATAAGCTGTCAGTGGGGGAAGAAGAAGAAAAATAGTTATGAATCTGACAAACATATACATTGAGTCTGTTATAGATCAAGCAAATACATGGTTCTGCAGTATGGTATGGAGATTTGTTCACGGAGATCTTTGGCTCTAATTTTCTCCAGGTTTTTAAAAGAACTGCGTATGGACCACAGGGGATTGTAATGTAGGGTCTGACAGCATTTATTTTCAAGAAATCCCAATTGCTGCTTAGTATATAGCATTGACATGTCTTATACCCTGTTGTTTAAAAATGCTGAACTAAATACTTTCTATATACTGTCTCTGGGGGGAATTAGTAATGAGTTGTGTAAGCACAATGCTCTGCTCATGTAGTGTAATTCCTGCACAGGCAGAGAGAAGGATGTGAGCAGTCTGCTGACAGCTCACATCCCATTTGACAAGGTCACACCTGGTGAGAATCTGTGGCAGTTCTCTACATGGAAAACTGCTATAGTCCCTCTCTTAATTAGGTGCAGACATGTGCTCATTTCTATTTCATTTCTAATTTTACTCTGAAGTTTAAACTGGAGCAGGTGGTGCAAATAGACCTGAAGCAGATGTATCCACTCTGTTAATGTGGTGCACACCAAGCTTAGTTAATTCTCCAGCACATTGCAGCCTTGACCCCATGCACTAGACCAGAGGTCTCCGATCTTTTCAAACAAAGGACCAGTATACTGTCCTTCAGACTTTAGGAGGGCCGGATTAGGGCCAGCGAGGGTAGAAAGTCCTGGCCCCAGCATCAGTGAGAATAAACATAGCTGCAGGGTTGATGGTCAGCAGGAGGAGTAGTGCCCCATCATTGGTATTGGTAGGAAGAATAGTTCCCCATTATTGGCTTCAATTGAAGAAGTACTGCCCCATTGTTGGTCTCAGTGGGAGCAATAGTGCTCCAAGGGCCTGATAAAGGATAGCCATATCCGGCCCTTGAGCCGCAGTTTGGAGACCCCTGCACTAGACCATGAAAGGGAAGTTGTGCAGCTCAGAATGATGTGATAAGAGAATGCAATCTTGCTACAAGAACTATAAAAAAGCAGGCTGGTCTGGCTTCACGAGATTACATAAAATGTAAAAGCAAAACTCCAGGTAGATATATGCAAAGCATCAATTTATCTTGTGTCGTAATGGTTAAAAAAAGATTACTTTTACTTGAAATTAAACTAGGCTAATTTCCTAACTTTGGAGTGATAGCAGTCCCCTGATCTCACCAGTACAGGGGAATTCAGACTGAAGGCAGAGCCAGCAATAGAAGTCAATCAGGCTTCAAAAGGTTTGTCTTCTTCACTTCTTGGCTGACTGATGCAGTGGAGGTTAATGACCTGTCTTGATGAAATGTCTGCATAGGATAACAATTTCTTTTTCCAAGGCAGGATATCTTGCCTAGGTTAAGTAGAGTATATGAATTTCCCTTATACTATGTCTATGTATTCAGGTGCTTGTCTGCATTTCATCTTTGGGAAGCATAAATTGACTGGATTTTTTTTCTTCAGCACAGTTGCAATGTTTCCTGTGAATCCGTTTTAAACAGATTAAGCTCAAATCACAAAGCTTTAACATAAGGAAAAGGAGCTCTAACTTAGTGATGTGATTGTAATTTTCAAATCTATCTCAAATCTCATTAGGCTCAAATTAAAATATTTATCACTTTTTTGTAAATAAGTATGCGTATCCTAGTGTATTAGCTTTGTGATTGACCCTGTAAGTATGACACAGTTGGGTTTAATAAAAAAAACTCTACTGAAGCATGGGGCTGTAAAACTTAGTGCCTTAATTCATTTTTATTTACATCAATGTAATAACTGGCCTACCTATCTGCACAGTAGTACTTTTATTCACTTGTAAATTGTGCTACATACACCACAACGTAACAGCCAAGTGAACACCAGGAGGTTTACAGACAGCCACTATACAGTAATGACAGCATTTGTTACAAAATGTGTCATAATGGATACTCCCAGCAACTTTGCTCTTTTTAAAGCTGGGCACATATAGAAAAATGCAAAATACAGTGGGTATAGAAAAGAATAATCACATTTTGTTGCTATGCAGCCTGAAATGAAGACAGATCCAGTTCCAGCTGGATAAAAAAAAATGGCGTGTCTTCATTTCCGACTACAAAGCAATAAAATGTGATTATTATAAAGTTGGGTAATTCTTTTCTATACCCACATCATGCATGTGCCATGTTTTATCAAGCACACAGACATTTCTATCCTTTTGAAGAAGTAGAGTGAGAATGTTTTAATCACAGTAATACTCTTTTTCTAATTTACAGAATAGTTAGACCCTAATTGGAATAAAAAATCTACTATGTATCACTTACCCAGAGACAGTGAGAGTCACTTTAATCTTGTAATCGACTAGGATTCCCATAACAGTGCGATCAATGCCTTCCTTTAGACTGGAAAATAGAGTAAAGTATAGTAAGTAATAAAATCTAACAATAACATATTTGTCATTTTGGTTCACTGCATGAATGCTCTCATTCTAAATTTCTCACAGTGGGCCTTGGCTTCTTGAAAAGTAGAATATCTTCTAAAACGAGGTATTTAAAAGGAAAATTATGGATACTATATATACCTGGTGATTTTTTTTTTTAAGGTGGCCTGGTCCACATCTTCATAAGTCCACTCTGACTTCATTTTGACCACTCACAAATGGAGTATTTGTTCTCACCTGTTACTTTTGTTTTTATCAGGAGCTACACTAAGTATTCATTCAATCTCACAAGCATGCTGCATTGGCAGCAGATGATTTAACCGCCCATGGCTTTATATATTGAAATTCCTGGTTTCAATCCAAATCTAAATGTGATTATAAACTTGGCAGAAAGGGTTAACTGTTACTAAACCCAGGACCCTGCATTCAGTATATCTGGTCTCCCACAGTACACAGAACATGGAAGTGCAATTATTTTAGTAAATATAAACTGCTAAATATCTTTTGTCATCAACAGAAGAAAGGATCAAACAGCCTTTTTACACAATGCTATTACTATTGTTATACTCACTGTTTTATCCGGTCTTTAACTATCAAAAGACATTATTCTAATATCTCCCCATCTGATACTGATCCTCAAACTATTAGTATTGATTCTCATACTATCAATACAGACTCTTCTTTTCAAGACGATGATAGAATATTAGTCCAGATGCTAGAGGATCTATGGATGGAAAGCCATCCTTCTAACATGCAAACACCCAGTATTTCCTTAGACCCAGATATCATTCACACCAATTTTAAATCCAAATCCAGTTTTTTTTTCCAGTACAGTCCAAGGGACCATACATCGAGACCTTCTGCCAGGCAGCCTATAAAGATCTTCTTAGTTTGTGCAATAATCCACCTACTAGTTACAATATGAGTAATTCCGAAGCACAAGCCTTAAAAAACTTAGAGAATAATAAAAACATTGTCATTAAGCAAGCTGACAAAGGAGGAAGTCTTGTTGTACAACACACCAGTGATTACATCAATGAGTCCATTTGTCTCCTTTCCAATATCGACACATATCAGCTTAGTAGCTTTAGTAAGGCAGATCCCTTACCAGAGTATCAAATAGCCCTCAAGTTACTCATTGACAAAGCCTATAATGATAGTGTAATAAATAAGAGATAAAGGTCTTTCCTCTTTCCCCCCATTTGTAGTACTCCATATTTTTATCATTTGCCAAAAATACACAAATCTACTACACATCCCCTGAGTCGCCCTATAATTGCGAGCACAAATAGTTTTACTAATGGCCTCTCCAAGTACATTGACTATTTCCTTCAACCATTAGTTGTACAATTGCCGTCCTACATCAGAGACTCCAGTCATGTGATAGAAATCCTCAGCCATTACCAGTGGAAACATGGGTATCATTGGGCATCACTTGATGTAACTTCCTTATACACATCAATCCTCCACCGAATAAGCCTACAGGCCCTTCAATATTTCTTATCCTCTGAAAGTTCTATTAACTCCACCCAAGCCAAATTTATTATTGAATGTACAGAATTTTGCCTTACCCATAATTATTTAACATTCCTTGACCGATTTTACTTGCAAACAAAAGGGACTGCGATGGGAGCGAATTTCGCCCCTTGTTACGCCAATCTCACAATGGGCTTTTGGGAGAAACAATATTTAAGTAAACAACCGCTTTGCCAAATATATTGGTTTTTTTGGGCGCTATATTGACGACATTTTATTAATCTGGGATGGTGATTTGAATTAATTTTTATCTTTTGTCGTATATTGCAATTCAAACTACCTTGGACTTTCTTTTACTCATGTTGTTAACTCCCAAGATATAATCTTTTTAGACTTGGTTTTATCAGCCACAGATATCGAAATTTGTAGTACAAATTACACCAACCCCACTAGTTGGAACCCATATCTACACTATTCCAGTGGTCACCATCCAGCCTGGAAAAATAATATTCCCAGTGGCCAATTCCAAAGACTAAGGAAGAACTGTTCAAAATTATGTGACTACCAAGAACAAGGTTCTCTCCTTTCAAAAAAGTTTTCTGAGAAAGGCTATCCCCCTTCCCTTATTAAAAACGCATACACCAAACACAGCGTATTGAAAGACCAAATACACACTCAGGCCCATAACCAGTCCAACTCGGTGAGGTTCATCACTGGTTTCAACACAACACATCACATCATGACATTACAAACATCATTCGCAAACACTGGCACATTTTACAATTAGATCCTAGACTAGCACCTATTCTCCCACGCTCCCCACAAGTAACTTTCAAGAGCGCCCGTACTTTGAAAAACATTCTAGCCCCAAGCAAAATGTCACCATCTACCTACAAAGATAACGGCCCCCTTCCTACATTTGACAACAGAACTGGTATCTAGAGATACAACAAAAAGAGGTTGTCTCACCTGTCAGTCCATCACCCATGGCAGATCACAGGTTTTGGACTCCCAGGGCAACAGCTACCATATTCGTCAGTTTATTACGTGTGCAACTGACTACGTCATATACGTCCTCACATGCCCGTGTAAGCTCCTATATGTAGGCCGCACCACACGCCCTCTACACAAATGCATAGGGGAGCATAGAAGACTTATAAGAGATGGTTGCGATAAGCATAGTGTCCCCAGGTATTTTTTGCAATCCCATCAAAATAATTTCAGTCTTCTTGAGGTCTTAGCAATCTAACATATTCCAAAGGGTACATTTACTGACAATGAAAGACTAGCCCATTTTTATTATTATTATTATTATTACATCGAGTTTATATAGCGCCAAAGGGTTTGCTCAGCGCTGTACAATAGAGGGGGGGACAATACATGAAACAGTAAAGCAACTACAAACAGCACACGAGGGGTTAGAGGGCCCTACTCTTTCGAGCTTACAATCTAGGAGGGAGGGGGGTAGTGGTACAGGAGGAAGTGGCTGTGGGGGATGGAGTGGTAGGAGGAATGAAGGAGAACGGCTGTTAGGTGAGGGTGAGGTAGGCTTCCCTGAAGAGGTGGGTTTTCAGGGAGCACCTGAAGGTGAGGAGGGAAGGTGACAGTCTAATGGATTGGGGTAGTGAGTTCCAGAGGATGGGGGAGGACCTGGAGAAGTCTTGCAGTCGTGCGTGGGAGGAGGAGACCATGGAGCAATATAGAAGGAGGTCCTGTGAAGAGCGAAGGGTACGGGTAGGGTGGTACCTGGGAATCAGGTTGGTGAGGTAGTTAGGGGCAGTGTTGTGAATGGCTTTGTAGGTCAGAGTGAGTAGTTTGAATTTGATGCGTTGGGCAATAGGGAGCCAGTGGAGGGATAGGCAGAGGGGGTGGCAGAGGTGGAGTGGTTGGTGAGGTGGATGAGTCTAGCCACTGAGTTCATGATGGTCTAAAGCGGGGAGAGCCTGCACTGGGGTAGGCGGTGAGGAGGGAGAGTTGCAGTAGTCGAGAGTTGCAGTAGTCGAGGCGTGAGATAATCAGGGAGTGTACGAGTAGTTTAGTAGTGTCTAGGGTAAGGAAGGTGCGTATCTTGGCAATGTTGCTAAGGTGGAGCCTGCATGTGTTTGTAAGTGTTTTGACATGAGGTTGGAAGGAAAGGTTTGAGTCCAGAATGACGCCAAGGACTTTGGCTTGCGGGGCGGGATTGATGGTGGTGTTGTTGGTAGTGATGGATAGGATGGGGGGGGGCACGGGCAGGGGGAAAGATGAGAAGCTCAGTTTTGGAGAGGTTAAGCTTGAGGAAATGGAGCGACATCCAGTCAGAGATGTCATTTATGTAAGAGAGAGACGTTCTGGATCTACAAGTTAGGTTCTATGACCCCCAATGGTCTCAATGAGGATCTTGAAATCCATAGCATTATCTAACAAGTATGACTTATAGTCCCTGGAACTAGGATCCTCTTGGGTTTTTTTTTTTTGCTAACCATTATTTATGGTTATGTACTGATATTTCTTTTATACACATTATTGTCTTCTTTTAACACTTGTTTTTTAATTTTCACTGTTACCATGTATATATTGTGCTTACTCCATTATGAATACATGTTACTACGCATCTATTGCATTTATTTGATTAAGAACATATGAGCTACCTAATTTGATACCCGTATTGATTGTACTATATTCCTTTTAGCAGTTCCTTTTTATACAGTCATTTTTATTTTCATATGCTAAGCTTTCACCTCTCTCCACCCCCTTCTTTGTTCATATGCCAATAATTACCTCACTATAAACGCATTTTTTTGACATAGCTTCTATGAACCAGCGATGTAATTTTTGACTTAGAGTTCTTCCACAAGAAAAGTTATTTTCCTTTTTTTTTTTTCTTCATTATTTTATTGTTTAATTATTACATTTATTCTGCTAAAGATAAAAGTAAATCATGCTTTCCAATAGTGTTATTATACATATCACTTCATTAATTGGCATCACTTTCTATAATTTGCAATTTTTACTTTTAAATTTGTATTTAGCAGTGCTTCAGGACGAGCTGTCCGCTCTGATTGACACCCCATCCCCTGCTAATTACACTCAGCCAGCCTTCCCTTTAATGGTCTTCTATATAATGGCCACCAGCCAGGGTTACCAGAGACTTGGCAAAGCGCAACTGCGCAAAACATGTTGTCTTGTTAACCCTACACATGCTCCCAGCTGAAGCCAACACCGGACACTGCCTTCGCTTGCCATGGTGACACCACCCCGGACGCCGGTACGCTGACACCATGTGATTTGAAGTTGACAGGAGCGTTCTCTGATCTCAGCTCCCTTCAGAGTGGACAGGCCGTCCGTTGGAGTCACACTGTTCACTTGAGGCTGGTCAAATGGTTTTTATTATATTTGCTACTTTGTCTCACCCAATAAAGATGCACCTTCATTAAGGTGCTTGTCTGAGAGCATTTTTCACAGCGCCTATTTTTTTCAGTGAGTATAACAAGCATGCTTTACTGCATATACAGACTGATTTTACTGTTGTGGGTTTAGGAACACTTTAAGCATAGGTCCTATATTTCTTCAAATTGCTTGTACTATTATTTCCATGTTTTCTTGCAATATAGTTTCTTCTTTGTTAAAGCTGAACTCCGTGTACACAAAAATATTTTAATATAGTCCACAATAGACACAATTTTATATAAATCCACTTTGTGTATAATAAATGCTTTTGCTAATCCAAAAATACCTTGTAACAGTAGTGGTGTCATCACTATGCTACAAATAGCCTGTTCAGAAAGCAGAGCTCTGGGAGGGACCCAGCAGCTCCACCTACCGTATTTTCCGGCGTATAAGACAACTTTTTACCCCTTGAAAATCTTCTCAAAAGTCGGGAGTCATCTTTTACGCTGGTATACAGCATACTGACACTTTTTAGGGGGGCGGTGCGGTGCCACCGCCGCCCCCCCCTTCCAACGGAAGGGACACTAAGTACAGGGGTGGGCAGGGGCTGTTTCTTACCTGGCTCCGGTCCCACGACGATCCGGTCCAGGAAGCGCGGCTGCTCCTTCAGTTCGGCCACTGGATGTTCGAGCGGCTGCTCAGCTCCGCCTCCTCACCGGTGATTGGCCGCCAGAACTGTAGCTCAGGAAAGGCACACAGGCGGCCAATCACGGTGAGGGGGGCGGAGACGAGCGGCCCGCGAAAATCGAGTGCAGGAGCAGTAGGTAAGTGTTCAGTGTAGAGGTGCTGCTGCAACCACATATGCTGGCTGCAGCAGCACCATACTAGAACAGGGTCAGCAAGTGTAATTGGTGTCAGTGGGAGGAATAGTGCCCCATCATTGGTGTCAATGACACCAAGGATGGGGCACTATTCCTCCCACTGACACCAACGATGGGGCACTATTCCTCCCCCCCACTGACACCAAGGATGGGGCACTATCCCCCCCCCACTGACACCAAGGATGGGGCACTATTCCCCCCCCCACTGACACCAATGATGGGGCACTATTCCACCCCCCACTAACACCAATGATGGGGCACTATTCCACCCCCCATGACACCAATGATGGGACACTATTCCCCCACTGACACAATAATGGGGCACTATTCCCCCACTGACACCAATAATGGGGCACTATTCCTGCCACTGATACCAATGATGGGGCACTATTCCTCCCACTGACACCAATGGGGCACTATTCCTGCCACTGATACCAATGATGGGGCACTATTCCTGCCACTGATACCAATGATGGGGCACTATTCCCCCCACTGATACTAATTATGGGGCACTATTCCTGCCACTGATACCAATGATGGGGCACCTATTCCCCCCACTGATACTAATGCTGGGGCACTATTCCTGCCACTAATGCCAATGATGGGGCACTATTCCTGCCACCCATGATGGGGCACTATTCAACCCATGACACCGATGATGGGGCACTATTCCTCCCACTGACACCAATGATGGGGCACTATTCCTCCCACTGACACCAATGATGGGGCACTATTCTCCCACTGATACCGATGATGGGGCACTATTCCTTCCACTGATACCAATGATGGGGCACTATTCCTCCCACTGACACCGATGATGGGGCACTATTCCCCCACTGACACCAATGATGGGGCACTATTCCTCCCACTGATACCAATGATGGGGCACTATTCCTCCCACTGACATCAATGATGGGGCACTATTCCTCCCACTGGTGTGCATTGGATGAGGGGTAGTCTTATACGGCGAGTATAGCCCAAACACTACATTTTAGCAGGAAAAGTAGGGGGTCGTCTTATACGCCGGCAAATACGGCACTACCACACTGAACTACTGCACAGATATGGAAGAAATAGACAAATAATACAAATATTCAAGTAAAAATACAAATGCTTCTTGCATTTAGACAATATTTGCCTATCCTAGCATTCAGTTTTAACTAGAAACATATAATACTTTCCTAGCAATTTAAGGCTAAGGAAAAAGCTAAACACATGGTGACATTGTCCTTTAGAGGTATTAATGTCAAAAAGCTCCAGTAGGTGAATCTCTTGACATATAATCAAATGTTTATCCTAACAATTAATAAAGGGATGGATTTGGGATTTTCAGGGCCCTAAACATATTTTCCACTTAATCCTGGCAGGAATTGGAGTATAAATTATAATGACACTAAACTCTATCCTTATGCTGCAAACATAATTTATACACATTCACTACCTAATGGCCCTGTAATTTATTTTTCATAAAATCATACCTTACTGTATTTTTCTGCCTTGCTGTAATGTCCTCCTCTGCCAAATCTCATCTTTTTCCACCTTACTTCTTGTTTGGAATGAGCAGTGCTCATTAGTTGCGGTCCTGCACACTGATCTATGCACACTACAAATTTCATAGTTCATAGGTTATAGTCCCTTGTCCATCTCAGGAGCGAGCAAGAGAGGTTTGCTACATTCTTACATACGATGGGATAAATTAAGAGGTTGTAAACTCTAATGAGCAGGACCCTCTGATCTTTCCTGTATTCATTTGTATTGTAGCTGTCTGCCCTTATGTTGTAAAGTGCTGTGAACTATTGGTGCTATATAAGTCCTGTATAATAATAATAATAATAAATAATAATAATAATAAGAGTAATCATGAAGAATAAATGCAGCCACCCTCTAGCAGGAAGTCAGCAGCAAAAAAAAGGAATTTGAGGTAGGATGAAGCAACAGAATGTATTTTTTGAGTTAATACTTGAATAGATTTTTATAAACCAGAGTTTAGTGTCACTTTAAAAGTGTATGAACAAGTTTTAAAATCTTGGCAAAATTAAATAAGTCTGACACCATGATTTACAAAGTATTCACCCAATAATATATGTTGGCTGTCTCCAAAGTTCCTGCATCTAAACTTACTTACAGAGTGCTAGATGCCAGATTGGTGTCCTCATGCTTAAGTTTGCCATCAAGAGCAATTTCCCTTTTCTCTCGGTTATATGCCAGAAGAGGCAGAAGGGTGAAGGTGTGATTATAAGTAGCCTTTGATGACACCTTTCCACTAGAAAAAGAAATAACATAACATTAAACTAACAGATTGTTTAAAAAAATATTCAGTGTTTCATGCAGCACTGCTAGCCGTCTATAAAATAATTCCCATAAAATAAATATTTTACATACCACCAAGAAAAAAAGATAAATGAAAGTAGGACCCATTTGTGATTGTAAAATTATATACTGTAAATGGTTCTTTCATTCTTCTCAACTACCACTTACACTTTCAGCTCATGACAGTGTAACATATCCTGTTGATATGAACCATTAATGTGCTTCTGGCACCACTTGAGGCTGACAGCAAATCATAATCACCCTGCCGGCAGAGAGAAGAGGGAGCAGCATCCTAGAGTCGACCGAGACCCCGGGGGATTGGTCTGAGCGGCGTTCATACTTACACACAATACCATGTTAATATCACTAAAAAGTTAGAGCATATGTAAGAACAAAAGTTGCTGGCTCCCGAATCCAAGAAAGCAGCACGAGATATAGGAAGAATCAACTCTGGGTGGGCAAGATAACCCTGGATGTCATATGGACTTTATCCAGTTTTCCTTTTAGATTTTTTTTTTATGTACTGCCTACAGTGGGGATGTATAACACCAATTTGGAAACACTAAGGTGTCCTTTTATGAAACACAGATCATTAGTGGTTTAGGAAACAGAGATGATCATGAGAACATGTTCTCCGCTGATCATTTCAGCACATAGATGGCCAGTGTATGAAGGAGTGATGTCAGCCCTTCACTGGCAATCTGCGTTCTCTCTCCAGACTCTCCAGCCCAGAGGTGGAGAATCAGAGGAACCGCAAATGAAGCAGCGGTAATTTACCACTGTTTAGTAAACAGTGTTTGACTGATCTCTTACTGTAATCTCACGAGCGGCCGTTTTCTAGCGTTCAAAGCGTTTGTAGATTGCTTCTCTTCTCATTCAGAGAAGCGATCTACACCGCTTCATAAAAAGGCATTCAGTGGAGAACTGATCCTCTGAGAATGCCAGAGAACTGAGCAGCGGTAAAAGGACACCTAAATACAGTAAAGATGGATCACGTATGTGTACACCAAAATGGCTTATTATGAACTGCTTTCGTTTTCTCCTGTCAGCAATCTAAAGTTTTCCTTTAATCCATACAAGACTCTCAGTATATCAGCAATAATATAACCTTTGTTCTCTACCTACATTCCCTTTAATTGGCATATAGTGGCTCTTTATATCTTTCAAAAGCATGCTTAAACATTTCTGCCCCAACTTACACCTTATCCCTACCCTAAAACTTATTTCTATGGAAGTTACAATGTGAAAATAAGAGAAAAAGCCAGTAAATAATCCTGGACCCGAAGACTGATCGGACTCATTGTTGTATTAGTGCACATTATCACCTTTCTTTATTGGCCCTTTATTTTCTTGGTGACACCATACAATTTCCTTAATCAATTAAAATAGGTTTTGCAAAAATACATCTAAGTTTACAAGTTCTTCCTTCTGTGATTGTACTTACTCAGATTCATCCAAAGCCACAGTCTTGGTGTAGAAGTCACTAGAATACAGCACTACATTTGCAGTCTGTTCCACTGCAAGAAGAAGACATCACTGAGTTACTATCCATATAAATGTACTAATTTCCGCTTATTTTCTTTGGTCTGGCATCGCTATGCATTACTCATTCATTGACAAACCGAATACTAAAGTGCAATACATTGTACATGAGGAGGTCAGAGTGATTGTTATAAGGTATCGCAGATTTGCACCATGTTAATAATGTCTCACAGTAGTTTTAAAAATGCATTCTATACAGTACCCAGGATATTTCCTTTCTAAATATCTGCATTATTAATAACTTTTATCATTAAAGCAATGTGCAAAACTCACTTTTGATAAAGCAAAGTATTATTTTTAATTTTTACAGAGCAACAGGGTTTTGTGGTGAGCTGTACTTAACTGTATACAGTGTGCATTCCACATGACATCTTGAATGAAGGCCCCTAAACCATTCTGGTAGCACTCTGTGTAATCTTCATCAGGTACATCAGCTTCTTTCCAATATAATAATGTGAAAGGACTTCAGGTTTTTGTTTCTTTAACCCCTTATATTAAAAAAAGATTTATTTTTTTTACACAACTTACCTGAAGTAGATATTTTCTTGACTGTTTTCTCCGAATTGTTGGTCACAGTTACAGCCACAGTAATTGGCTCTCCATGATAAAATACCTGCAAAAAATTTTAAAAATTAAATGGCAAGAGAGTAGGAGGGTGCATTTAGGGTGGTATTATTGGAGAAATGATATTATGATGTCCTCACACTAAACCTGTGAACGGGTGGACTGACAACTCATGGGGCCACTGGGCAATAGGGGATCATGGGGCCCCTGTGTCCTTGCCCAAACTCAAAAAAGCCTATGAAAAAGGTACCAGGGGCATCTCATGGAGCCCCCTACTGACCCTAGGCCCTTGGGCAGTGCCCTAGTTTCCAAATGGTCAGTCCGCCCCTGTCTGTGAAGCTATATTCTTGTGTGCTCACGTGCGTGGAAAACATTGGAAACTGTCTCAAACATAGAAATAGACCTCTATTTCTCCAGGAGGTTGTACAATAAAAGCACAGTTAGACCCCATTCAAGAGCCCAACTTCAAGAGACTTCAAGAGCCCAACACAGCTGCTCACCCATCACTCAGAATGCAATGTATATGTATATTGTAGTATATTAGCTTATTTTTCAAGGAAAAGCATTGAAAAAGCTAATTTATGACTAGCTGAAAGACATTTTTCTAACAAGTTGTTATGCTTTAATGCAAATAAGCTTTGCAAAAAAAAACATACTATGTATGGATATCAGGACCTACATCATCTGCTGGTGGCACTGTGCTTCAAAGCGCAGAAGGTTGTAGTTCTGGTGTTCACCAGCAGGTGTCTCCCAGCAGCCAGCAGAGCTCAGTAATCAGCCTCCACCTGATTCTGTCTGATGGGGACATATTTAGTCCCTCTTCTGCTGATACACCTTGCTTCAATGTTTTGCTTTGTTTGCTGCCAGATACTACTACTGTTATCTTGTTATTACTCTTTGATTGTGCTCTCTGCCTAGTATCTTTGCCCTGAACCTTGCTGCCTTGTTCCTACACCCCCTTGTTCCTGATCCCAGTTTCTGTTTCCCCTTTCTATATGTTCCCTGCACCTCCAGTTTTTTACCCTGCTTTCATATGTTCCCCGATTGTATATAATTAGTTTGATAGTTAGAATTTCTGTTATTCTGTTAGGTCGTTCAGTTAGGTATTTTGTCTCTGGATTGTTGGTTAACTGTCATCTTTATGTTTGCTGGTGCTTGGATGACTGTTGTTTTACTATTGATAAATCTTACTTTAAATATATATGATCTGGTCCCAGTTTCCTGAGTGTAGCCACTCAGATCTGTCAGCCATCCCTGCTGTTAATTCCTGAGAATGGATTAAATGCAGCTCTTTATTTTTTGTCACTCTTACCTCCTTTGACAGGGAAGCTGTCAGATGCAGAGGTTTGTCTGACATAAAGAACTGCCAGGAGGTTTCTGCACGGGGTGTAGGCCCAGGTTGATCAGGGGCATACTGGATTTTGCGTATTAATAGTCGCACGGAGTTCCTGAAAACAAAAAAACAATGATCAAATTAATTTGTTGCTATAAATGTGCATTAAATTTAATTTGTGGATATTGGGCATAATACATGTAGCCACAAGTACACAGTTTATTGGAAGTCATGATTCATAAATGTAATGATAAATGTATTTGTTATTAATGTCTTTTAATCCTCAATTGTTCTATACAATCTAAAATATTACTACACATGAAGAACAAAGACATTTAAGTCATTTTTAACAGATTATGCTTCAAAAAGGTTATCGCGTGAAATTTTATTAAAAAGTTTGAGGTCCAGTGTATAGAATACAGTCTTATGTGATTTTTTAAATAAAATAAAAATACTTTCAAAGAAATTTTCAGCAAAGAAAAAAACCCTTAATTTTGACAATCCCTAGTCTTTTCTACTTAAAACAGAAATGTATCTAAAATGTAGTTCAAAACAATTGCAATGAAATCGTACAGTTTTACCTGATATACTTTATCTGTAATATTCTAGCCCATTTTATACAACTGATGATATACAAATAAAAGTTCAAATGAATTTATGCAGCAAACCATAATTACTAAACAGCTTGTTAACTTACTTTTTGGCTTGTTAACTTACTTTTTGTGAATTCTGTCCTCTAAGTTGCTTGTTGAAAATCCTTTGATCTCAAAGTCCACACCACAAGCCTTAAAGTAAACATAAAAAGCGATTATCTAACATTGTATGCTAGTATGCCTAAGCAAATAATTATGTATGAAAAGTTCATACATTTCTTATATAATATATCAATGTCTTTTATTTCTTCATCAACTATTCCCATTTAGAGCAACCATTGTTTTCAAGAGAAAGAGATCTTTTACTATCCTAATTATAGATAGTTTTTTATACATTAGAATGCATTGTATTTTTTTTACTCACCTTGCCCACATCTGTTGGAGCTGGCTGAAGAGCTACTGAGCACGGCAAGTAGTCAGGAAACTGTAAGAAAGACAACATATATATATATATATATATATATATATATATATACCCTTAATTTTTATATATATAAAATTACTGTATTTTTCAAGTTATGGAGAATTAGGCAGTATGTAAGCCCAGGATTTCATATTGCCGATATGTGTCTGCTGTTTTTATATCTATACACGATTGTTTTAACTTTCATTTCTATTTTCAACTGAATAGGTTGTTTTACAAGGTGAGGGTTTACATATACTTTCACTTTGAAGTCATAATCATGTACATTATATATGCTTCCGATGCCTTTTTTTGCAAACTAAAAATATTTATTTTATAAATAAACATTTTATAAATTAAAAGAATTCACAGAGTACTATAGGGTTTACAGAGGCAGATAGCTATAGTAGTACCTCCTATTAGGCAGGCTCTCTGTAATTAAAACCTCATAAAAAATATTTGAGAAAGAATAATTTCTCTTTTTGTATGCATCTTTCAGTCTGAGCTATTAGGTTTTGTAATGCACAGGTTTTTTACAATCACACTACAAAAAATGTTTTGCTTAGTTTCAATAGAGCGGTGAAGGATTATTACTCATGATGGGTTTTTATTGTGCTGGTGACAATAGATTTACCAGGCAGAACACGAAGGTAAATCCCTAACAGCAACACATGCAGAAATGAAAACACTTTTTTTTAGCACTGGGACAGAAAGTCCCAGGGAAGTCCCAAGAGGGAAAACATTTATAATGGAGCCCTGGATAGCAGTAAAGCTGAACAGGTTCTAACCCTCTCTTACTCTATCCACAAGAAAAAATGTTTGGCTGTACCTACACTTTAACAATCCTAAATGATGGAGGAGATACAGAGTAAAGCAGGGTATATACTGTATGTAGAGTTGTTTTTTCATTCAACCAGCCATTGGCTGCAAGCACTGATTGAATGCTGTTTTTTCAGCATGACCTTTCAACAATAATCTCCAATAAAACAATAACTGCAATAGGATATATAGCCCAAGCAGACATGGCATTCAATAAGTAAGCCTGTAGTAAATATATTTTTGGTTGTATTAGAACTTCTTTTGTTTGAAGATGTATGCATGTTGTTCTTGCAAGTGCTAGATTAGGAAGGTTGCACAAACTGTTGCCATTTCTTTCATGTGTTAAAAAAACCTCAACAAACAAAAAATACTGTATTACCGCCATCAAGAAAGGATATGCATTATTCCCCAGCTTCTTCATTAGCCGCTCCTGGACCTTTGTGAGGCATTTTACATCTTCTACAGGAGGATACACCTGTGTACGTGCAAAGTAGAGGTCCTTGCGGAAGGTCAAGCCAATGACATCAATATCCTCATTACCATAGCGGAATGCACAGGTTAGGGTGACATAAACTGTGAAGAGCATATAGAAAAGAGGCAGATGATACAGTAATTAGTGGATTTGACACACCAGAAATATGTTTATCATTGAATATATTAAATTGTGTAAACTCCGTGTGTGCTACTCATTTCAAAAATGATCTTATAACACCATTATCTCTGCATTGGGGTATTTTTCAGGGAATGTTAATGTACAGATAGAAGACATAAGGGGGTTAAGGTAGATTTGAAGAACAAGCATGGTTTAAGAAGATAACATAAAAAAGAATAGTGCAATGCATTAGACTAACCCATTTTAATCCCTTGGCTAGTTACCTTTTTTTCCCTTAAGAAGATCAGGATCCACTAAAACAACACCATCTGCAGTACAAAAAATAATGATAAGGAGTCAAAATATACTAACAAGAAAAAAATAGAAGTGGTAATAAAAAAATACAACCATTTCCATTTAACAATATTAATGAAGCTATAAATTGTTTCAGTACAAGTTTTATTGACAATATTGCACTGCACAAAGATGCTCTTTGAACTTCTTGTGAACTTACCTACTGGATCCACAGACTCTATGTGATCGACATAATCCCTTTTACCGAGATATACACTCACCTGTATGTGAAAAAAAAAGAAATGTTGCTATTTAACACCCTTGTGAAAAAAATGAAGAATTTATCCATAGTAATAAACCATTATCATTGTTATGATTTACTCAAATTACATTTGTCAGTTATAATTATTTGTTCAGCTTTAATCCAGTAAAAATGAATGTGACCGATTTAATTTAGAAATAAATCGTAAACAACCTAACTGTAAGCAGTAAAGTCACTGTCATAGTCACTTATTGAAAGAGTCATTTTTTTCACTTAGCCAACTGTACCTGTATTCATGTGATCTCCCAAAATGAAATATGTACAAAAAAAAAGAATTTACAAATGCCTTTGTACATGACTGAAGGACTGAAGTGAATACAGCTTCACAGGTCTAACTAAAACATGCAATTATTTATTAAGAAACTCAAACTTTAGAAAAAATAGAGTGGAAAAGAATTAGAAACTGCTTGTTGTCCTTGCTGTCTGTGCCCCACTGAGAGGTCTCCCTATAGTTTCTGTCTTGGCAAGAAAACAGGATTTAAGGTAATGTCAATAGGGACACAGACAACAATTGTAAGTGACCCGATCACTGTGGGGTCACTTAAAAAAACAAGTCACCTGTAAAATAAGCTTCTATTTACTTACCTTACCAGCAGCTTGTGTAGTAAAAAGCTGCAACATCTCTGTTCCCCAGTCTCTGCAAATATTCCACAAATACTTTGGTCCCTTCTGCCGATTTGTACATCCTGTAGTGATGTACAAGCCAGCAGGAAAAAATATTTTCAGTGGCTAGGGTTAAATCCTGCGGCTGCATTTGTCTATTTTTTTTTTTCAAGCCTTTTTTCCTTTATTGGCAACCCTCCCAACAACACACTATAAAATATAGGCTGACAACTCTTACTCATTGGACTGTATTTATGGAGGGAAGACATTCTACCATATTTTGGACTATTTATTTATTTCAGGTACTTATATAGCTCCGTCAATTTACGCAGAGCTTTACATATATATATTGTACATTCACATCAGTCCCTAACCACAATCTAAGGTCCCTAACTCACATTCATATACAAGGGCAAATTTAGACAGGATCCAATTAACCTACCAGCATGTCTTTGGAGTGTGGGAGGAAACTGGAGTACCCAGAGAAAACCCACACAGGCACAGGGAGAACATGCAAGGCAGGAGGTGCTGTGGCTGTGATTTAAACCAACGATGCTAGTACTGCCAGGCAGAAGTGCTACCCATTTAGCCACTGACTACAAACACTCTCTCTCTTACCTCCATTGCATAGAGGGTAGTTGTTTTTTAGTTTATAGAAGATAGCTGGGGAAGCAGAGATAAAACTGTTTGAGATTGTAGTTCATAAACGCACAAGAAGTTAAAGCTGTAGTAAACTGTCAAAAAAAAAGGTTTGCTCCTGCAAGGCAATGTCATAATGTGCTAGTATGCATTGTATACTAGCCCACTATGTGAAATTCACCTTAAAACGAAGACCTCCATTGGCAAGCTGTCACCACTGACAGGGCTTCCATCTTCACTTGGTCCCTCTTCCAGTCACTTTTTGCGGAACAGAGCATAGAAGGTATGCCACAGGCATGCCATTCCTTCAAACACATGTGCCGGTGCTCTATACAAGTAAAAATCTCCTAAACAGTGCAGGTGATATTTACAGTGCAATCCCCCTTCCCACAATGAGAGAGCGAGAGAGTTCAATGAGTGTATGTGTGTGTGTATATATATCTCTTCCCTCTCTCTTCTCTCTCTCTTTCTCCCTTTTATTTTCTCTTCGCTCTCTCTCTCTTCCCTCTCTCTCCTCTCTCTCTTCTCTATCTCCCTCTTCCCTCTCTCTCTATATTTTCCCTCTCTCTTCCCTTGCTCTTCTCTTTCTCTTCCCTCTCTTTCTCTCCCTCTCTCCCTCTGCTCTCTCTCTCTCTTCCTTCTCTCTCTCTCTCTTTCTCTCCCTCTCCCTCTTTCTTTTCCCTCTCCCTCTCTCTCTCTCTGCCTCTTCCCTCTCTCTTCACTCTCTCTCTTCTCTCCCCTCTCTCTCTCTCTCTCTCTCTCTCTTTCCTCTCTTTTTCCCTCTCTCTTCCCTCTCTCTGTCTCTCTATCTTCCTCTCTCCTCTCTCTCCCCCCCTCTCTGCCCCTTCCTCTCTACCTCTCCCTTCTCTCTCTCCCCTCTCTCTTCCCTCTCTTCCCTTACTCTTCTCTCTCTTTTCATTATCTATTCTCTCCCTCTTCCATCTCTCTCTTTTCACTATCTCTTCTCTCCCTCTTCCATCTCTCTCTTTTCTCTCTCTCCCTACTAGCACATATTTCCCCATTCCTCCTAGGAAATACCACCCCCCCACCAAAAATCCACATAATGCTTCCTAGAATAAGTGGAGAGGAAAGAGCCAGGAGGCGGTGAGCTGTGTTGTGTTCTCTGGGCTCCCCCTCCTGTCGTCCATCCAACACATGATACACTGTTAGATCGTATGGGACTGTATACAAACACACAGAATATGATTACCACCCCACACACACCTCCTCCAAGGGCTGCTGATCTCCGGGCAGCATGAAATGAGGGCAGGGAGTGGGAATCATACTGAGTGTGTGCAGTCCCATACAATCTATCAGTGATCGTGTATCACATGCTGGATGGATGACAGGAGGGAGAGCCCAGAGAACAAAACACAGCTCACCTCCTCCTGGCTCTTTCCTCTCTGCCACTTCTCATCTCCCTGCTCCAAGCTGTCTCCTGGTCCCAGCTCTGAGTGCAGGTGGGGGAAGGAGCTCAGCAGCCACTCAGGAACACCAGAGCACCCATCCATCTAGACAGGTCTGTCTCTCCCTCCAGCAGCAGAAAGCCGATGGGAGGGAGAAACCTTAAATCGGCTTTCAGCTGCTGGAGGGAGAGATACACAGTGCATCCTTCTGCAACTGCTCTCCCTCACCACATCGATCCTCCTGCTGTCCGGGCCAGTCCCGGTGGTACCCCTTGGATGGTGGCCCTGCATGGCTCTGTTCGCTGCTGCTCACCAGGTCCCTTATTCTGGGGGGCGGTGCCGCCCCCCTAAAAAGTGTCACCCTAGGCAAATGCCTTTGCCTACAAGTAGATATGCCCCTGCCTACAAGTGTAAAAACAGACTTTACCACCACTTTAAGAGGACACAAATTTATATGCGGATTAACAGGTATTTTCTGTACTGGCAGAAAGAGTTCTTAGCCTGAAACATTTTTTTTTGTGGAGACTTACCCTCTCTATTTGTCCTGATGACTACTATCACTGAGACTGAAACCAAGGACAAAATTAAATTTTGAGATTTAACTGGAACTTTTCCTTCACTTTAAAAAGATTTTTTTCCCACTACCTGATTTAAATTTTGGAAATAAAGTAAAGGTAAGTCTAACAAAATGGGGCCCAGGTGGCAAAAAACTGGCAGGTTTTAATCCTTGTCTACTCTATCCAAAACTATCAGTTAAATCAACTGTAATAATTTATTGAAAATTGTGCTGTATAGTTAGGAATGCTTACCGCCTTATCACGGGAGGTTTTCTTGTAGATAACAGATCGGGACTTACTCATGGTATCTGGTCTCAGAGATCTGTTGGCAAAGAAAACGTTATTGACTTTCGCTCGTGTAGTGGCTAAAATACATAGCTATGTTTTGTATGCATTTCAATTTTTTTTTGCATCTCCCAATACTTAATAAACGTTTTAAAAGGAAAACAGTGTATTTTTAATGACTATGTACATTGTACTTTAAGGTTTTTTTTATCTTATTTACAAGTACTTATATAGCGCTGATAATTTACACAGCAATATATATCGTACATTCCCATCAGTCCCTGCCCTCAAGGAACTTACAATCTAAGGTCCCTAACTCGCATTCATACATATACTGTACATACTAGGGTCAATTTAGGCAGGAGCCAATTAACCTACCAGCATGTCTTTGGATTGTGGGAGGAAACTGGAGTACCAGAAGGAAACCCACACACAGGCACAGGGAGAACATGCAATCTCGAGGCAGGAAGTGCTGGGGTTGGGATTTGAACTAACAATCCTAGTGCTGCCAGGTGGAAATGCTAACCACTTGCCCTAGTATTAAATGTTTTATTTCAAAGTAATTCTAAGTGTTACAGTTCTAATTTTTTGCATAAGATATATGGATTTATAGGCTATAATTTTAGTTGCCACCTGTAATTCACTACAGCCACTTAGCTTCCTTTAATAACCTCTGCTGAACCACATAGAGGTATAAATAATAAAATTGTTCTTAGAACTTGCCATTTGCTGATTAGAAAATTGGTGAACCTCAAACATTTCTGAAGCACCTGAATACAGTATACTGAATTTGTCAACATTATTCTCTGTGGATCAGGCAGATCTGCATGCAAATATTCAGGTGAATCATACATTAGCCATTCTTTGATCCTACTGATTCCATCATCAATTATGTCATCAGAAGACAACAGACAGATACAAATCATCAGTTGTAGCAGGTTTTCCCTGGGTATAAAACATGCAAGATCTTTTTAGAGGAATTCTTTCCTCTAAAAAAAAGGGAACTAAAAAAAAAAACTTCATTGGCATCAGCACTATCAGCAGGTAAAATATAGTGAGTAGCAATCAGAAACAAATCCTATAACATGCAAAGTGGCAGCAACAGATGAAATAATTATTTTATTTCTTTCTCCTGCTTATTTGCATTTTCCTGTCATCTTCTTTTATCTACTGAGGTAATAAAGATGATCCTATTAACAGGATAAAAATGTGACCACAATTGAGTAGTGTACCTAGAAGGTTTTAAGAAGATTAAAAGCTCAGGGGACACCAGATTACAAAATGCACTAAACATATTGCATTAGAAAAGATGATAATGACACTGCTAATTGCTACTACCATATATTCAGTACATTTGAAACACTACCATAAAGTTCTAGTCACTGTTTTCTCTCATTCTGAATACGATTTACCCAGGTCATAAGCTTTCTTGACACATGAGGTGTTTTATAAAAAAAATCTGCATAACTGTTTATCTATCGAAACTGTGCATCTGAGCAAAATCAATGTCTTAAGGCTATATTCTCTGAAGATCGAAAGTGTGAATGTGGAAAATGCGGCATTATAGCCACTAGATGGAGTATTACAGGAAATAAGTATGTTCATCAGCTCCATCTAACTTGGCACAATGCAGTATTTTCCCCATTTCCATATTCGATATGCAAAGAATATTTGACCCCAATTGCAAACAACAAATTTACAGTATATGCCGTTTTGATGGATGAACAGCTAAGCAAATGTTTTATAAATGCACCCCATGGTTTTCCTAGAATGTAAAATTGCAGTTTGTGTGCTTTGAAAACATTGCTTCTTTTTAAGATTTTCAAAAAGCAGTACTCAAATATTCCTTCCTGCTAATTTTTTGAGCTGATTCACACATGTGCGGTGCGGATTGAAGCTCAGGTTTCACAACTAATTGACACAGTAGTTGTTCAGCGTTTCAGTTCAGGTTTACATCAAGTTCAGGACAGGATCAGGTCAGGATTTTACCCTGTTTATACATGCGTGGTTTGGAAGCAATTCCCATTGAAGTCAATAGCCTGTGCTCTGCACCTGAACCAGACCACACTGCTCAGAAATCGAACATGACTCTTTTTCAATCCACACTGCAAGTGCACCGGACATATGTGAACAGACACCATAGGAAGCAATGTTATTTCACATGCCATGTGGATTGCATGTGGTTCAAATCGCATCCAATCTGCCTATACATGAACTAGAACTTTAAAAATTGCCATCAAAAACAAAAATCTAAAATTTAGATGACAGTCAACTGTGATGCTAAAATCATATTTTCTCTTTAAAGGTACAGTAATTTCAGGATTTTTTCATTTTATTTTCACTTGGTAATCCTGTGAGTAACAAATTCCTCTCTCTTGGCATCCAATTTTTATGCAAAAGCTATAGAGGGAGCCACGGTTGTCATATAGGCTGGACTTCAAACATGTCTGCCTTTATTAATCTCCATTACATTATAGGTTGATGGGACTTGAAGTTTAAATAAGAAAAATAATTTTCTTTGTGCTTTCTCTTTTAGCTGACAGGAAGTGACAAGGACTCTGGATCTCTGGTGAAATTAAAGGGTATTTTCTGTAATTGATAAAAATGTTCTTAGCCAGAAAAGTGAAAATGAATGCAGCCATTACTGACTAGTAATAAGCTGTAATATATTACAGTTGAGTTTTGGGGTTTATATATGCATTAATAATGATGATATAACAAAAAGTTTTAATAGTAAAAACTGACACTTGTAGAGTGACTTCTTGCAGAAGAATTTGCCTTTCAGTGTAAAGTATACATTGCAATAAAAGCTAGGTTTTCTCTGTTGCATTGATGGCAATTTTTTGTGTAGCAAGAGCATCCATAGACTTGTGGGCTGTAGCAAAGTGAGCCTATGTGCACCTCGTCCAGATGTGTGAAGCTAAATTTAAAAAAAGTAGGAATTTCTTTACCACATAATTAGATGTTTGAAGCATACAGTAGTTTATTTTGCGCTGTTTCACTTTTTCATGTTATCCCTTTGTCTTGTTTTCTTCTGTTCCTATTATTCCTATTATTCAAAGCACAGTGTTTAGGAAGCAATGCTTCTTAATTCTTCAGAATATTGTTATTTTTTGGTAAACAGAAATTGGAATGTTTAAGGAACTTTAGATTTTGCTTAAAATGAAATTGTAATTTCAATGAAAACAATGCATTTTCGTAGCGGTAGAGTCCTTGTTTTTCAGTTAAAGAAAAATCACGTATTTAACATGCAAATATATTTAGAATTACATCATAGCTAAATATCTAGAGGAAAAAAACAAATACAATTACACTACAGCAGTAAATACTAAAGATAATTTGTTTTAAAAAGTCTCATAGTTAAGATATAAAACAATAAAATCGCTATTGTAATCCCAATAAATCATTCACAATTTCTTACTATGCACCAGAAGGAAGATCAAGTGAGGGATCTGTAGATTCCAGGTATAAACAATGATAGATTCTGTCTACCAAGTACCAGCAGCCCAATATGTAGCAGCAGCAGGAGGGTGGGGAGGAGAAAACTTCCAATTAATCCTCAACTGAGGGTGTGAAGGAAGTGGGATTAGGAGATGAGCCAGAAGTATCTGTGTCAGCACCAATGAGCATTAACAAGAAGTTGTAGGACATAGCATAGGCATAGTTATTATGGTCATTATGTGTACCTGCTGCTTTCATCAAGGGTTGGCAAGGAGGTCATGCTACAAGGCTTGAGTCCAAACATCTTGACATGGCTTTTATATGAGAAGGCAACCAACTGCCTACAAATTGCATCTTCCGGTAAACAAAACCTTCAATGTGTTACACCCATGCATCCAACTATCATTTGTTATATTTTGCTCACTATTATGACTGGCAAAAAAAAAAAATATTGTTTTTCTCTGTGGTCATTAGTTATACTGCTGGTAATAAGCATTCCATCACTTTGTATGGAATATACATACCACAATGTAAATATTAATATGATTTTTTTAAATTAGCAAGATTTTTTTTCATTTTGTCTTGATACTTAACATAAAAAAAAAATTTACATAAAAAAAACTGAATAAAATAAAAAATTCACATAAGTAAGACAAAAATTTATAACTGTATCATTTAGAATGAATAGAACAAGGAAAGAAGAAAAAAATGAGGTGAGGAAAGAACAGTAGGGTATAAGAAAAAGATTAAGGTAAAGATTTACATTTATGATAGTTGAATGAATGTATCTTTAAGCTAAGGGTTTTAGACCTTCCTAAAGTCTTCTACTTTATCATTTAAAAATGCTTTGAGATTATCATTGATCATTATCTAGTCCAAATTTTAGATAAATCATTCAAAAAATATTTATGATGAATTCCAAGAGATAGCCATTATAATTTTGGGTGCAAGAAAAAAATGTACAAATGAATTAACCGGAATGTCTAGGAATATTTGGGATTGAACAGTTGAGTAGAATCACAAAGTTTGATTCAGGCAATTAAAAATTAGTATGTATATATATATATATATATATACAGTATATATCAAACTGTAAATTTTTATCCATAATTTGCAGATTTTCAGACATGTCCAATATAGATGAGCGAATTATTCAAAAATTCGATTCGGCTGATTCGCCGAATTTGCGGAATAAATTCGATTCGATGCGAATTTATTCGCTGCGAATTTAACTTATAAAAAGGGTTTCTAGGCTTCAGAGAGCCTTTATATTAGTGCAGAACACTGTACCTTTAATTTAAATGCCCTTGGAGTCTGCTGGGGAAGAGAAAAAATACTGTCAGTCAGTATGACATGCAGATGAGTGCTGTCGATCTTAGAATCACCGCACACTTCACTCATTTGGGCAGTCACGGGGCCAAAACCAGAGTGTGGAGCCACAGTGTGGCGGTGGAGGCAGCAGCAATGGGAGGCCATACAGCACCCGCGGCAATAGTGGGCAAATCGGACGATTTTTTGCCGATAAAAAATCTGCGCATGAGCAGTGACCTGCAAGAGGAAGACAAAAAGAAGAAAAA